TATATATATATATATATATATATATATATATATGGTGATCACTTCCACCAAATGAGCAATGAAGAGTCGACAGCGCCTTTCAAGTCCAAAAGGTATTAAGGTCAGTTCATCAAAGATCCACTGGAGAAATACAATGGGCGCCATCGTCTCCAGGCATCCAGTGATCAATGACTGACAGGATGTCGGTTGGATTAGACAAGATGGGTTGCTGATTTGGGGACTTGATTCACCCGGTCCCGAGTAGCTATATGGTGTTATCCACGACACTTCAGAGCCGCAGTGGCCCAATTAGTTGTTGGTTACGAAAACGGTGATTAGTACATGCCTCCGGTGATGAGAGAAAAGGATGGATCGAGTGTGGAATAGCCCATGTTTGTGGGGTGAGTATTACTAGCTTACAAGTGATGGCATACCACTTTAGTACACATGCAGCCGAACCAGAGTCTATCATCCTCAAGTTTGTTAGGTATTCGATGAATGGTGCACGGGGATGTGTCTCGGAGATAAACTACTGGCACGGATGCCAATGATGGTAAGTAGTATGTTCGCTAAGCTGGACAACTACGTTTCACACGTTCCATCACCGATTGAAGTGACGTCGTTGGTGCGTTGTTGTATCAGTCGACCGTCTCACCGCACCGTTTAGCTTCGCGTCTACGAAAACGTTCAAACGGTGTCACTTTGGCCGGTGATGAAATGCTTGAAATCCAATTGCCCAGCTCAGAGAACAACCAGGCAACCCGAGCCGCAAACATTAGTTTCAATATTTTGGGCAGGATTTCATTCTGCAAGTCATTAACTTGTGCTAAAAAGCCGAGAAGCAGTGAACAGCTGTTCAATTCTTCTTGAGAATTATCAGCAGAGCATATCTCACCAACCTCCAGAGCGATTCGAACTCGCAGCCGCTGGGTTAGCAGCAAAAGACCACACCGTTTAGACGAGCATCTGGACAGAAGTACGATTAACTCACACCTAGATGGGATCGACACTACTCATCCTCCAATCACGGAATCCACACCATGTGGTCACCTGTTGACTGGCTCGTCGAGTGGATAGTTCCCATGTGGAAGTTTTACGCAATTTGTGAGACGTTTCACTTTCCGAACGCATAGTTTGACGGTCCTCAAAAATAAGCGCTAAAGATGCGTTGGTAGGTTGGTGACTTTCAAGTAGACGAAAGACGGGAGATCAATTTCAGTTTAGGAGGGGCATCAGTAATAGGTTTCATTGATACCTAGACGCGACACACTATTCATAAGGTCACGGAAAACTCTTCGACAGCCTACGACCGGTTCCACCGATATTCAAAAGTGAAACGTCGAGCAGTTTGTGAGGACTAATCAAAAGACAAAACTACCAGATAAAGAATACGTTCTAGAAAGGTACATGTATACGTGAACCACTAACGCACAATGCGGCGAAAGTAACCTGCAACAGGGCCCGTATAAAAAACATGTTGAACAGTGCCCTCACCAGATAGCTATTGTCACGTGAATGACATCAAAGGGTGAAGGAGGAGGGTGAGAAGGGAGGGAGCTAGACACTAACACCATATTCGGGGCAACACAAACTCGATTACCACCAGGTTCCTATTCATAGTACCTACAGCCATTGTCTAATCGAAACAAGAATAGCGCCGTAGTCTCTATTGACCGGATCACATAATGTGTAAACAGCCAAACGGTACAATTTTGTAAGTGAACACTGAGTGTAATCAGATGCGGAATTCGTTAGTCCCATGAGATTTCTCGAAGGGTCAAAGCATGGCATACCAAACACAGCGAAAGCATTAAGTGAGTGCATACATAAGGTTGACTGAATCTCGGAGACTGCGCCTACCTGATGAGCCTCAAGAACGTCTTCCTGGGCTGTCGAAGAGTTTGCAACTTAGCTCACCAGCTAATCTAGTGATAACAAGGTCGAGTGCGCCGAATAAAGGTTGACTTCGGAGACTGCGCCTACCTGATGAGCCTCAAGAACGTCTTCCTGGGCTGTCGAAGAGTTTGCAACTTAGCTCACCAGCTAATCTAGTGATAACAAGGTCGAGTGCGCCGAATAATCAACACGCGGTTAACTGACCGACTGAACTGCCATAAATATGATACCCAGAGGCCAGGATGTTGATACATCCGTGTTGTAATCGAGCGCGTGCATTGAGTTTGACTAAAAACTTACATTTATTTCAGCCGTATCGTTGGCGAAGAAAATTCGGCTTGATGCCGTGATCACCAGATGACCGGAGGACTCAACTTCAAAGTCCGCCACACCGCTACTGGTGGCACGCATGCGCTCACGAAGTAGGCTTTCCGCCAGGCTAATGGGGGCACTAAAATATGAGAAGAGGAGTATATTATGTGAGCGGAAAACGTAGAATACTCGACCAGAAGTCAATACACACCAATCAAGCCAAATGTCGCAAGCGAAAACGAGTAGCAAACAAAAAAACACCTCGGCTCGTGCTTATTCAAGCAGCGCAGATCATCCTATCCAACGTCTTTATAACACATCTAATTCCAAAAGTATCCGTGGTTAGATGAACACTTCAACTAGGTACCATCTGATTATAGGCATAGCTGGACAGATTAATATGCTCAAAGAACACACCAAAAGGTAGACTACTGTTTGTATAAACCGAAAACGCCTAGATGGCTGATATGGGTCTAATGGGGGCGAGATGGCCCAAGTGGTTAGAGCGCGAATTTACTGACCGGAAGGTCCGTAGTTCGAACCCGACCCCTGCCTCTCGACTACCACTATCTAGGCTTGGGCAACCTGGCAGTATCCCAGCCCTCGTGCAGCCTTCGGGTGGCATGGCAGTTAGGTACCGAAAGGGTGCGACAGCTGAACAATGAGTCAAATGATCTGCACAAAGAACAAACTATGCTGCACTCGGATGTCACTACTAAATAAAGACATCGAATATACGCCACATCACGAAATACTACGACAGCATGACTCAGTGTTCAACACCGATGCTTCACTGCACAGAAGCCAATTCGGTATGTGCATTCAGCCATAAAATCGCGTACGAAGGGTAGATTGATGCAATTTGCTTCCATCAGTAAGGTGACAACGATGAAGACGATGATAACAGCCATTTAAATCTATCAGCATTGGTGGAGCCTTATTCAGACAAGACTGGAGCAGTATACATATTCAAGAGACCTGTCAGGTCACGTCAGTTTCCAAACTTCCTGGTATGTGGCTCCCGTAAGGTGAACCAGTTAAGTGAGAGCGGCTGAAGACGCTCAGTCCTCAGTAGGGTTTGGCCGCAGTCACGTGAAAGCGACTTTCGATGCAATACGCAAATGAACGAACGTTCTGACACGACGATAAACCCCAACACCCCCGTTACTTTATCGTCATCCGGCATTTATGGAAATCAGTGGGAAAAAAGCTGTGAAAGAGGACGACACCTCTCGTCAGCTAGGACCGAAGAAGACAGGTTGCTTTAGGTCCCCAGCCTTAGGTTTCGGTTCCAAGGGCTTTACAGATGACAAAAACAGGCGCTGGATCTATTTCGAGGGGCCCAACAGTAGCCAATCACTCAAAAGTCTAACCCGTTTCCCAAAATGTTGATGCTGTGCTACCTTCAACAGCTGAAGTAGATAGGGAAAACATGTGCACATCGCCCACTGAGAATTTTTCTTAGCTGAGTCGAGCACTTTGAAAATTGGCTCCACTTGGCCTGGTATTGGAGACGAAACAGACCGATTTGTGCCCAACACCTACATATTAGTGATAAGAATTACATTTGCGAGGAAAGTGCACGCAACAAACCCGTTGTACTCTCAGGAGACAGCTCATGCGTCAATAGTTCCCAACAGGCACCAAACACCCATTTGTAGCTTGAAGCTCCCCTGTCAAAGCAGCTATGGCCGTCATATCCTGGCACTTTAGGTAGACAGACTAGCCACGCAAAACGTGAGATAACTAGTGGAGAACGATGTAGAGGCTGAGTTGAGCTCGAAATAGCTCAGTGGTTAGGGCGCAAAAACTTACTAACCAGAAGGTCCGTGGTGCGAACCCAACCCCGGCATTCCCACTGCTTCTGTTCAGGCTTGGGCAACTTGACATTATCTAACCCCTCATGCTCCCTTCGAGTGGCATGGCGGTGAAGCACCGAAAGGGTGCTACAGCTGAACGATTGCTTTAGTGCTGTTATTATTATTACTATTGCGAATGTATAAGTATGATGTAGGGAAACAGATGATGAATATTCGAATTTGCTTTGCGTATCCTTGCTATTTTGTGTGACGATAGACACAACATTTCGGCACAGCAATACGCTATGGTCCGTCACCCAAATGGGACTTAGACCACAAAGGGAACTACTCACAAGGTTTCTGAAAACTTTTCGACAGCCCACGACCGGTTTCACCCTTCTTGGGGCTCATCAAGTAGGCGCAGTCCCCGAGTTTCCGTCAACCTTATGATCTACTTGAACCCAAATTGGACTGTTTTTCGAGAAATATACTCATTTGCAAATCAATTCGGTTTGTCAGCACTTTCCTTTACGAAAATATACTGCGATATCCCGAATATCGTGCCAACTGAATCATGAGACGGCCTGTGTGCAGCACATTCAGTTGTAGAATATCATAAACGAGAGATTCAGTTGAGTCTCTCGTGAAAACCAGAATGATTTGCAAATGAGGACTTGGACCACTTTATTTAGGGCAGTGAAGCATCGGTGTTGATGTCATGCTGTCGATGATGATGATAAGACCACTTTATTTCAGTCATGACTTTTGCACCATTGCAATGAATGGCATTTGTGAAGTCCACTTACTTGTCCATGGTAAAGTCGTCCGGAAGCAAATGGAACCAAGGGAGCTCCACGTCTGTCGGACTGGAAAGACTCACGTCACAGCAGAAAAGAGTAGGGATGAACCGGGTTACATCTTCTGACCGAGGATAACAGACGAAGTAGACGCGACAAGAGGGTTGTGTCTGTTTTGCATTAAAACAAAAATGACCGGAGAGTTGTGCAATGTGGAAAGATGATACGGATCGAAAAATGATCGGATGTCTTTATATATTAGACTTGTATGTATGTTAGACTTGTATGGCCCTTGTGTTAGAAACTAACGGGAAAGCATGTACGATATGCTGCAGTAGTGTTTGAATGAAACTGAGACAAATGCGTGTTTTCTAGAACCAACTGGCGTGTTGACAAAGCTGCAATTTCCCGCGAAATTTGGACACTGTTCGAATGAAGCCCAAACACTAGGAAATTTAAGGCAACACCACTCGAGCAGTTGACAGGAACAATGTGTCGTTGGTCTTTGGATGAAAACGCACTTCTGACTTGAATCGGTGTACGCCTATACCGGCGCTATAAGACGTTCCTACTAGTCAGCCGAAAATTTCAGGTGGATACACCTCTGCTGGACACAAGGTGACGTTCGGAAAGCAACGGTGTCAAAAGATTTCATCCTACAAGGGAAGTGAATCTATGCTGAAAAGATGGAAAGCAGAGGTGATTGTTATGTTGCTACTGAGAGTCACCAGAAGTGTACTTCTCACGACTTACTGGGTAGGTTCGAACCCGCAACATTCATGATACGGGTATGAATGCTGGGTGGTGTCCGGAAACGAACACTATGCCGACTGAATGAATGTATCCTGATTAGTCGGAATACGGAATCGAGCATTCCTGGCCTCGTCGCTACCTCGACCTTGTGGAGTATAGTGCGTTAGGTTCAAAAATACAGCTGTAGTAATCTCCCTTTACTTCCACTAAAATATCTGAAGCGACCGTGCCTTTTGATATACCATAGTGGGCGGAACAACAAGTGGAAAACCAGCACAGGAGTTGCAATGTACAACAGGGAGTTAACTACAAATTAGGATATAGTGTTACAATTCTCGCACCGCGCAGATGAGGTTGCGGGATATGGTGGTGAGTGACCTCTCGGATGACGGAAACTTGTGGGACGTTTCCTATACTGAAAAGATTACTTTTCAGCTATAAAGCGCTTCCCGGTTTTCCACTAGCAGACTGGGGAAAACAGAATTTCTTTGCTACGTACAAAATTTCCACTTCATTTTCACAGCGAACCTCACAAAACGAGTAATGATGATCACAAGACATGGCGAAGCTCCCCAAATCAATCCAATTTTTCGACGTATAGGTTTGTTATTTAGTTTCAACCAGACAGTAACTGTAGGAAAGTGACAGTTAAGTGACAAGTGCAAAAAACTCCCATTGGTTCCGTGTCCTTCGCGTGCAATCACCCGCTTATACGACACTAGATCAACGTAATCCATCAGTTTCATCCTTGAAACTTACTGTAAACCCTAGGGAAAGTTTAGAATTCATCCAAACGGCTTGGACAGATTACTTTGCATAAGCAGGGTATATTACTTTAAAATCACCTCGAGCAACAACAGCTGCCACATGATTAGACAGCTCATGCAGCATTATAATGGAGCTGGTGTTTACCCAGCTGCAGTGTTCCTTTGCGTCGTTTTGTTATTCGGGAAGCACGTAACAAAATAACGCTAGACCCATAGTTTTTGTTCGACAACAATCGGAAAAAAGGATGGCGCAGCACCGGAAGTGGTGATCCCGTCAGAGTGCTGGAGTGGAGTGCCAACTGATACATTGCTTTTGTGTTGGAAAGACAATCGGGTAGACTTTGCAAACCACTGATCGGACCCATCTAGACAACTTTCTTCAGCGCTTTCGGTTCCCAGAGATTACCTGACCCGAAAAGATAATATCGAAGCTCAAAGCCTCAAAGATGGGTTACTTCCCTGTTCTGTGTCCTTCGCTAGTCTCCAAGGGCAACATCTATTGGCTCGTTGAATGGTGTTCCTAGTTGCAACCGAATGCAAACAGCAGAGGTATCCAGCTGATACACTGTGGCCACGTTAATTGCAGAAATAAGAGAGGTCGAAGACAGGGTCAGTGTGATCAAGAATTCAGGCACTTGTTCTACGATCATGCCTTAATCCTTGCCGTACCCAAAGTCCCACCCATCATCTAGCCCACATTCAACGGGTCCAAATGGCTTATTTCCATACACACTCGCTAGTCTGAATGGGCGCTGTTTGCTTGCTAGAATCGATCACCGAATAGTCAATACACACGAAGACTCCGGTTGTGCATAACCAAGAGGTATAAGACTGTTTTACTATATAAGCACCTGGAAGTAATATAGCCTTGATAAAGGCGTACTTCTGATGCCTACAAAAACCATTAAACTACAAATTACCGCCCCTTAGAAACAAACAAAAAAGAGCCCCCGAAGTCCATTCAGGGAACACAAAAACCAACATTCACGTGGATGAACGTATTTGCCATATACGGCTGGACTGAACAAAACTTCCGATGAAGGAAATAACATATGAATTCTTACCTGATCGCCCGGCTCACAACGTGAAGTGCGAAGAGAAACAGCAGTCGGTATAAGATAATGCTTCTTGTTGAACTTGACGCAGCTCGCTGCATGATAAAAATCAGCAAATGTGTATCGTCCCGTCGTACTCTGACCAACATCGAACGTACTCGACGGTCGATCAACGGGTGATAACTTGTAAGGACTTCTGAGCTGTAAAGAAACGAAACATATGGGGTTCCGATGAGGACAGAGGTTCAGCGGAGTGGAGTTGGCAGAAGCTTGAAGGTAATAAACACAGTCTAAGTACATCCCATGCATGCTCCTTTCAGATAAAAAAAAGATAAAGCGTTCCGTTC